AAAAAAAAAAAAAAAAAAAAAGAAAATAAAAAGACAAAAGCACAGACTGGTAGAAAATATGTGCAAATCACATATCCAACACAGGACTAATATCCAGAATATATTAAAAAAATTTCAAAATTCAACAGTAAGAAAACAAAGAACTCAATTTAAAAATGGGCACAAGACTTCAAGCACTCCATCAAAGAAAACATATGGATTACAAATATGTACATGAAGACAGATATTCAGATCATTAGCCATTAGAGAAATGCAAGTCAAATCAAATAAGTAAAGTTTTAAAAACTAATGATACCAAGTATTGATGAGGATATGGAACAACTGGAACTCTGATACATTGTTGGTGAGAATGCAAAATGGTATGGTCACTCTGAACACTCTGAATTTCTTGTTAAGTTAAACATTCACTTACCATATAACCTAGGTATTTACCCTAGAGAAATTTACCCTGTAAGGTTGTACATAGGACTGGTTCAAAGTTTTTTAATGTTCCCTTTAAAATCTGTACACTAATGTTTATAGCAGCTCTATTCATCATCACCAGAAACCAGAAACCACCTAAACGTACTTCAACAGGTGAATGAATGTAGTACATCCATATAATAGACACTACTCAGAAATAAAAAAGAATAAACAAGTGAGATACATAACAACATGGACAAGTCTCAAAGGCATTATGCTGAAAAAAATCTAGTCTCAAAAGGCTACTTACTGTATGATTCCATTTATATGACATTCTTAAAAAGACAAGACTGTGTGGAAAACAGATCAGTGGTTACCAGAGGTTAGGTGGGTGGGGAGATGTGACTAAAATAAGGTAACACAAGGGAGTTTGGGGATTACTTCTACACATGTGCTAAAGTTCACATAAGTATACACCAAAAGTCTATTTTACTTTAATGTAAAAAATAAAATAAATTTTGTAGGCTGGATGCAGTGGCCTGTAATCCAGTACTTTGGGAGGCTGAGGCAGGAAAATCGCTTGAGCCCAGGAATTCAAGATCAGCCTGAGCAACGTGGCAAAACCCCATCTCTACAAAAATACAAAATGAGTGCAGTGGCCCACACCTGTAGTTCCAGCTACTCAGGAGTCTGAAGTGGGAGGATCACTTGAGCCCAGGAGGTAGAGGATACAGTGAACTGTGGCCACACCACTGCACTCTAGCCTGGGAGA